AATATAAACCACACCAGGATATGGAGATGTTTCATGTTATGATAAAATAAATGTCATTGTTCATGGGGAAATAAATCCTGTATGACTCGCAGCTATAGAATCTGAACATCTAAACAATGAAAGAGTAACAGGAAAAACAAGGAGAATAAACGAGAGTTAACGGAAGTTTTAAACTTCCGTTAACTGTCCATACTACTTTGTCAACATAGAAAAATAAATTGGAATTTGGGAGCAGATTAAATCCAAAGTAGACAGCAGATGTGTGTGGGAATAAAAACTATTGTATATACCTTGATATATCTCTTAGGGAAAACATCTCTCTCCTGCACACACTTTAATAATTTACTGTCTTGGAAATAAGTCTGTGTTTTGATGATTTTTGATGGGTAGGGCTGGGGTAGGAAAGAGCAGTAATGTAAGCTTCATGAGAGCAGAGCTTTTTGTCTGTTTTGCTCATTTTTTAACAGCCCTAGTGCCAAAAACAATACCTGCAACATGGCAGTATCTTGATAAATATTTGCCAAATGAATTAAAAGAAAATAAGTAATCCCAGCAACACAGGAGGCCAAGGCAGGGGGATTGCTTGAGGCCAGGAGATCAAGACCAGCCTGGGCAACTCCATCTCTACAAAAAATTACAAAAAAATTAGCTAGGCGTGGTGGCTTGTGCCTGTAGTCTCAGCTACTCAGGAGGCTGAGGGAAGAGGATCGCTTGAGCCAGGCATTCGAGGCTGCAGTGAGCTATGACTGCACCACTGCACTCCAGTCTGGTGACAGAAAGAGCCCCTCCCATCTCATCAAAAAGAAAGAAACAAAATGAGAGAAAACTGAGACTCCTCTATCTCCTCCTCTCCACGCACACGAACACAACTGTTCCACAGAAAGATGTGGAAGTAAATCCCAAGAGGAAACTATAAATGTTGAGGATGAAAATAGTATGTTTTACTCATCTGATCATTTTAGTTACAAATGTGTTACTTTTAGAAAAAGTAAATTTTCAGTAAGAACGTGAATAAGTTCAAGGATTTTTGACAGCTGTATTGAGATATAATTCACACACCATACAATTCATCGGCTTAACTTTGCAATTCAGTGGTTTTTAGTGGATTCACAGAGTTGCATGATCACCACAGTCAGTTTTAGGGCATTTTCATTACCCCAAAAAGAAACCCTGTACCCATTTAGCGTTTCCCCTCAACTTCCCACCCCTGCAATATTCCTTTGTAAAGGATCTATCTGCATCGATTCTGGTCAAAGTTACTTCTAGAAATACGTGCAGGTTCACTGTGAATTCTATTACGTGAAGCTTTTTTTAGAGTCCATTTTTTACTAGGCTAACATTTCTAGAAAGATGTTCAAATTTGTAAGAAATATTATTTGTTACTTTTTTTTTTTTTTCAATTTTAGGACACCAGTGTAGCCCCCTTTGTGGCGTCCTCAAATCAGGTCTTCATTAAGTTTCATGCCGATTCTGCAGCGCGTCCGTCCGCGTTCCAGTTAACTTGGCACAGCTGAGTGGGGAATGCCCTGCGTTTACCCAGCGCCTGGAGTCTGCATCGCGCCGCATGAACTCTGCCATCCTTACACACGCCCCTGCCTGTACGAGCAGAATAAGCCGAACTTGCTTGGTTTTCACCAGAGCATTTATGGAACCAATATTTGTAATTTTTTTTTGAATGTAGAATACAGCTTCTTTAGTCTTGACTGTGCATGTCATTCTTCTAATATTTTGAGCTGAAATTTTTAAAAATTCCTTAAAAGATTGGAAATGATTATGGCATCTGTAATATACATTTTTAAAAGTTAATGATAAAATAGAGGTCTGATTTTCATTGTGAATGTCAAATAAGGGATAATAAGCATGATTGAATTTTACACAGTTATGCTGCATTCATTTTTGACTCATTAAAATTTTGTCTTTCACTATGGGGTATATATAAATTTTCAAGTTGAATTTTTACATTTTCACAAAGCACATTATGCCATTGTTTTCATTTTTAAATTTTCCTCTGTTCGCCAATGTTTTTGTATAATTCACATCATATGTAATTAGATTATTACTGTACAAAATATCTGTCTACCCACCACATTTATTATATTAAAAGAATTTTTCATGTTTCTGGTATTCTCAATTATACTTTTAAACCATATAGTACATCAGCTTCCTCTGTTCATATATTTGTTTTGTTTTCAATCTACCACTGCTAGCACCTGGATCTTGGCTTCCAGCCACCAGAACTGTGAGAAAATAAATTAGTTGTTTAAGGCACCCAGTCTGTGTTTTCTTTTGTTATGGCAGCCCTGGTAGACTAACACAGGTACTGACGTCTTCAACCCACGTAGTCAAGACTCACTGTCAGAAATTGATCAAACAAGAAAAAATTCTCATTTTTTTCAAAAAGCATTTTTTTGAAAAAAGTTAATGATTCAAGAAATGGATATATCACTAGAATACCAACTAATAAATATAGATAAAATTATGAAGTTAGGAAATCATCAGTGGATGTTAAAACTGGTGGGAAAAATTTAGATGAGGAATGGGATATTTACATAATCCTGCAGTACCTTCTCCACGTGTTATTTTTCATTATAAAGGGGAAAATGGTAACTTTGCAGTGAAGAAACCTGGCAGACACCAGCTAAACCAAGTGATCAAAGCTAACGTCACCAGTATTGGGAGAAACCAGTATCATTTGTACCTTGATATGATGCACTAGGAAAGATACATCGCTTTAGTAGTATTTCTCCAAAAATTCATAACCTGAAAGAGAACTTAAGACAAACCCACTTTGAAGGACATTCTGCAAAATACCTGGCCTGTACGCTTAAAGAATGTCTAGTTCAATAAATGTCGAACTGTTGAAACGCTGAGAAACTGTTCCATATTAAAGACTAACGCAAGCACAATCCTTTCATTAGGAATTTTTAAACAAGAAATTTCTGCTTTCATATTTAAGGGTGCAAGGTCATTCACTCCTGGTTCAGGGCCGTAATTCCAGTATTACATCACATCTCTTTAAGGCTTTAATTCCTGTGACGATTTACAAAATATAAATGCATGTGAGTGTAGCTATATGACCTGTCTATCTAGGTGATACCAGGAGAGAAATGCTCGCTATCTATCTTTATTCCATAGGATGAAATTGTCTCTAAGGACAGGTTTTTGGGTGTGAGAGTCACAGCATATTACTGGGTGACTGGGACTGGGTCAGGAAATAAGGAGGCAGAGGCCAGCAGTTTTGCCCAAATTCAAAATTTGGTTGCCTTTGGAAGAGAAAGTGGGAAGTTCCTGGAAGCCATAACTTCCTGTTCCACAGGTGTAAAAATCACTTATGACTTTTAAAAGGGTTAGGTTTTACTTGTAGCTTCTAACCCTGAGGGTGGTTGCAGCTGCTCAAGATCAAAAGGGCCAGGTGCAAAGGCCAGCAGCAGTGGAAACCTACAAGATTTCAAACACGTGGTTTCCAGCTGGGCACTGGGGCCTCACAGACCGCGACCGAATTCTTGTCTTGAGGAGCAACGAATACAGCGGCAGGCTGCAAGGTCTGTTAAAGGCACAATTATGGAGCCTGGACTCAGGGCAACAACTTCTGGCGAGTGTAGCGGCAATTTCAGAAGCAGGACACCGAGAGGTAATTTGCTTGCAGCTTTCGCAGGACCCACCCTCAGCTACCACCTCCCTTACGGAGTCGCGCCCCAACCTCTCCGCTTCCGCCCACAGCACGCTTCGCTTCGACTGACCAACTGAGCATGCGTCAACACTAGTCCGCATGCGCCAAGCCCGGTCCAATCAGAACTTCAAAACTGGGGGAACCCCCAGAGGACTAGCTTACCCACGGCGCGGGGCGGAGCCTCGAAGCCGAATAGCGGGCATGATTGGTCAGCCTCGGGGGCCACATTCTTTGATGGGCGGAGCCTCGCCCGGGAGCCACGTCTAGTAAACTGTGTTCTCCTAATTTGGGAAGAGTTGGGGGCGGGCGGGGCGTGGCCCCAAGTGCGCCTGCGCCGAGCGCCGGGACAGGGCGTGTTCCTCTTCGGTGCCAGTTTTGCAGCGACCGGGTGTGCATCTCTCGCCGCCGGGGCGCGTCCCACCGAAGCTTGTCGTTCCACGCCCGCCCCGTGCGGTGCTGCCCCCGCGGTGAGTGTGCGTGACCCTGCGCTGGGGCTCGGGTTCGCGTCCCCCGGGCGGGACCCCTCAACCCCCGGCCCCGCCCTGCCCCCTCCTGCGCCCCGACGCCCCCTGTCCAGCTCTGGGACCACCCGGGAGCGGCGGCGGAGGGTCTTTCCTTTATCCCCCTTCACCCTGCTGCCCTCGCCCACGTGCTTTGCTGTTGTCGTTTGGTGCAGACCATGTCCAAGTCCCTGAAAAAGTTGGTGGAGGAGAGCCGTGAGAAGAACCAGCCGGAAGTGGACATGAGCGACCGGGGCATCTCCAACATGCTGGACGTCAACGGCCTGTGTAAGTTCCCGGGCGGGACGCGTCCTTCCCGCTGGAGAGGAGCGGGAGGGGCTTCTAAGTTTGCCGGCCCCGGTGTGAGCCGTTATAGCGGGTGACATCCCGCCCCCTACTTGTCAACACCGCTGGTCAGGAGCTTCCCTCGCATGGTTTGCAGTCAAAATTTGTTCTGTTCCAGCTGGAAAATGAACCTGAGGGTCCAGGATTAGGATCACACAGACAGGTGTTTGTGGCTGTGCCGATTTATGGCATGTGGGTGGATTCTCTATTGACTGAACAGCTACGTAATGTTTTAATTGGGAATCATTTTTGAATCATTCATCCTTTCTGTAGTCCATGAAAAAATGGCACACAAAAGTCACATGATGAATAAACATTCTTGTGCCCGGAGTATTTTAAACATTTCTTGATTCTACTTTTTTGGGGTCTTTATTCTTCTAGCTTAAGTCAGGCTTTTGTTACCCTCTGCGTGGGCCGTGGTCATGGCCTCCTAACTTGCCGTCTTGCCTCCAGTTTCGCTGCCCAGTTGAATCACCCTATTGCTCTCAGCCTTGTTTTCCTGTAACCCGCATCTTCGGGTGTTACCCTATAAGGGATCGCAAACTCAAATGCCTCCAGCTGAGGGTGGCCATGAACTCAGTGATTCGTATCCCATTTGAAAGGGCCTAACGGCCGCACCTGCTACTCAAACACACGACACCATGTAGGAACCTTGGCCCAGTGTTGCCAGATTGATTGATTGATTTTTTAAAGAAGCCAAGATTCTAGATTTTCATGTGAAATTTCCTAATTTTGGGATGTTGGCAACTAATTCCACTGTTTGGCAAACACTGTATAAGGGAAATAAAGCACTTCTTCAGGCTAATGTGGCTACAGTTCAGACCTTCTCAGCGCTTCTCCAGATTGTCGTTACTGACAGTAACGTCCCAGGGTCCTTGGTGTGACGTGGAAGACCTTTCTGAATCCAACCACAACCTTATCCCTTCCATGCGGTCGGCGTCTCAGCCATACTGATCCTGCTGCCCTTCCTGAACCACAGCATACTAATGTAGATCTTGATGCCTTTACAAAATATCGCTTTCCCTCCTCCTCGCTCTTCTTCACCTGAAATCCTGTTACTTCTCTGTTAAGAGTCAGCTCAGGCGGCACAGCCTACGTGAAGCCTCCTCTGTGTGTACCAAGCTGACATAGTCACTCCCTCCACTGTGAAGTTGGATGTGCCTTGCTCCGTGATTCCTGTTACATAGGATTGTGATTTTTTTAAATCTAGAAGTCTCTCTTCCCACTGGGAGACTGAGAAGACAAAAGCTGTGCAGTATTCATGTCTGCATTCTTTATAACAGTGCCCGGAGCACAGTGGGTGCTCAAAAATGTTCAGTGAGTGAAGGAAATGACAGAATGACAGATTAGGCCTACAAGTGTGTGAGAGCCAGTCCAGGATGTGACGACAGAAAAGAAAGGAAGTGTCCAGGGGACCCTAGAAGATGATGGAGATAGCTCATTAGGCATGGAGAGAGCGGAGTCGGGTTTACTGTGAATCTGTGGGTTCTTCCTGCGCCAGAGATTGGGGTTGACCGGCTATTGATACGTCTTGGCTCAAGGAACGGGGATGAAGGATTGTAGACAATTTGCATTTGGTGACCGTCACGGAGATACCTGCCATCGCACTTAGGTTTTGGTGTGTGTTGGTCTCTCGCAGTAGGAGTGGATTCCTGGTGTCGGCAAGGGAGTAGATGTCTCCAGTATTGAATTGGCAGCTGAAGATCTGGCTGTGTCCCTCTATGCCCCTGCCCAGCTCTGCCAAGATCCTGGTCATTCCTGGGGACACTGTTGCTATAGAGGAAACAGAGAAAGGGGTGGGAACAGGATCCCCGGCACAGCGGTAGTCTGGGCCCCAGGGCTTCCTGCCCTGCAGCACCTTTTTTCCATGGGGCTGAAGAGAGAGGTTGCTTTCAACAGAGTAGCTTTATACCCTACAGCTTTTGGAAAAGAGACTTTATGTAATATTTATAAGCGGGAAGAGTGGCTTAGCTATTTTGGTTCAGTCGCATTATCTCTTTGAAGCCTTGGCTTTTATTAAAGAGGAAAAGATAGCCACTTGCTTCCTGAGGAAAACGTTGCTAGTATAACACTGGGCGCTGAAATGCACGATCATTCTTAAATTTTCCCAAAGTAGGCTCTGAGGAGGAGCCACGGTACTTCTCAGGAAGTTCAGTGGAAGCGAATTTGGAGATGCCACCTTCTCTGGCTTCTGTAGCATTGACCTAAGGAGTGGCCGCTCTCTGTTGACTCCCTGACCTTTGGTCTCCTCAGAGTCTGGAAGGTTCCAGAAGGCTCATCAGAAGCCCATTCATCCTCTGGAGCTCATTTATCGGTCGTGCACACGATGCTTAGTGTGTGCATGTACTAAAGTATTTGACGTGGCCACCTTAACTGGAGTGTAAGAATTCCCATATTCTTTTATTTATAAAATTTTAAGTCTACCCACGAAGTTTTATATTTTAGTGTCCACATTAAACACAGGGAACAATTAATAGTTAACTTGCCTGTACAGGAAATGGTTATTTTTTGTGTTTCAAGCTTTCCTGTCCTTATCCTTATTTTGTTTAATTTCTCATAAGGTTTATAAACAAGAATTAAGCTTTGAAGGTAAGAATGAGGTTTTGTACTACTTCTGAGCATGTGAGATGCCATCTTTCTGCTTGGGAGAGTTGTGCTTTGAAAACACAGCACTTTGCTCCCTCAGAGACAGTAACCTTTGAAAGATGTTTTGAGTTTAGATACCAAAAAAGCTTTCTGATGGGGAAAACTTCTTAGGCTGGAGACAGGTATCGGGCAGGTTCTACAGTTTGCTGCCAGCCCAGCCAGATTCTATTAATACAAATGCTCAGATCCTACCCCGAGAGGCAGAGGAACACCGTACATATGAGGGGACCTTGGATTTGTATAGACTGGGTTCAGAGTTGCTCCTTAGTACTGTGCAACCTTAGAGAAGCTATTTAACCTCTCTGAGCCTCAAGTTCCTGGACATCAAGTGGAAGAATAAGTTATGGCCACTTCATAGGACTGGTTTAGTGTTAAATGCAATAATGCACATTAAATGTCAATTATTAATGTGAATATCCAATTAGAGGCCCATCAGCCCATAACCAGTTCCAACATAGTCTGAACCAAGAATTTGGTTTGGTTAATTAGACTGCGTGAGGTGTTTGTATCATACGTTAGAATTTTTTATGTGGCTTTTTAGAACCTGGAATGTTTGGCACTATTGCCTAGGGTTCTAATTGATTTAGATAGCTATTCATTTGAAATTTGTCCTAATTTTATTTCTTTTCCATTTTACACGGCATGTAATTTGCACACACATCTTCCTTAAAGTTTCCAAGAGTAATGCTGCTGATTTTATTCTTTTAATTAAAGAGAGTGATTTCACCGCAGAAACTCTTCCCTATGCAGCAACTGTCTTCACCTGGTTAAAGATCGTTTTGAAGGGGCTGTAATCGGCTCCCACGGAGGCGTAGAATCTCAGTAGTAGCCAGGAAGACTTTGTTCTATTTCTTTTATTTGTATCTTTTATGACTTTTTAATCTCTTCAAGTTTATTGCCCTCTGGGTGGTCAAGCCTTTATCAGTTTTTTTTTTTTCCAGGTTAGACTAAAATATTTTTCAAATCTTTAAAAAGAAAAAGAAATAACCTGCTATCCAGGGAGCAGTCTTTCTCAAGGGCCATGCAAAATAATCAAACACGATCATGGGTTATCTGGAAGGGCTATTTCAAAAGTCCTGTTAAACCCGGGAGCGGTCCCCCAGTTAGGGACACGCATTATCAGTATAGGCTGTCTTTGGGTGGGGATAAAAGAGCCGTGAAGAACATGTGATTGTAGCTATCATCTTTATTAAAATCTTTTATGTTTTCACTCCACTAAAGCCCACCTTTGTGTTTTTAAACATGTCATCTCTTGGCCTGCGACACCTTTTCCCCTGTTTCCTCTCCAGCTAACTCCTTCACTCCCTTGACAGTTAACACTTGTTGAAAGAAGGAGGGATGTATCTGTCCACGTGACTCCATTCTTGTGTCACCTCCTCTGAGAAGCCCCCCCAGCCCAGCATAGTCAATTTTAAGCCCCCATCCTATGCAACGTGGCTGATGTGTCTCTTCTGGACCCATGTGCTGTGAGCCTGTCCTTGGCGTAGTGCTGGGGAAGAATGTGCTGAAGGAAGAATATTTCTGCTGTTAGTTAAGAAATCCAGGCAGAGAGCGCCGCACGGGAGAAACGGCACATACTCGGTCTCCTCCATGCAGGCTTCTGCCCGCCTTCCGGAGGGAAAAGAGTTTACAACTATCAGGAACACGATGGAAATGACGAATGTTATTTTTGATTGGCAGACTGGGTAACAACTGGAACTGTTTCATCAAGATGGGAAATAAACACAAAAGCTGCAGCCCCTTTGGTGTAACTGAACCAGTAGTGACATGTTACCATTTTTCCAGCACCTGACATTTCTTCTCCAGTTGACCGTGGCAGCTTTTTAGTTTGTAACTCGCTGTGTAACCTTGGGCAAGCAACGTAACTTCTCTGTGCCTTGGGTTCTTCATCTACAAAGTGGGAATAATAGGAGAACCTACCTCGTAGGGTCATTGTGAGTTAATATTTATAAAGTACCACCTTGTACATATTAGTCTCAATATCCACTATTACTAGCACAGTCATGTGTTGCTTAACAACAGCCATATGTTCTAAGAAATGTGTCATTAGGTGATTTTGTTGTGCAAACATGATAGAATATATTTATACAAATCTAGATGCGGTGCCTACTACATAGCTAGGCTAGATGGTGTAGCCCATGGCTTCTAGGGCTACAAACCTGTACAGCAGTTTACCGAATACTGTAGGCAGCTGTAACACAATGGTAAGTATTTGTGTCTCTAAACATAGAAAAGTTACAGTGAAAATACAGCATTATAATCTCATGGGACTGCGTTCATACATGTGGTCTGTTGTT